TCTATTGAATCTCTGTTCATTGGATGACATTGACTACGACAAAAGAAGGCGATACCATTATTTTCTACGTAACTACAATGATGACTATGGGTAAACCATCTAGAATATGTCTGCATTAAGAAAGTGAACTCTGAGAACAAGTCCTAGTAAAGGAAATGTTTCAAATTTTTTTCATGTTGACACATTTTGAAAACAATAATTGGTAAATTCACGAGTCATTATCCAGAATATCAATGGTCTTCTCTACAGACGTTGATATAAATGAAAATATAGCGTTAAACGGTCCTATTTGAATAGAATATGCAAAATAGTCTGTACAATGTAGACAGAGTTATAGTTGGGATCATGACTTTCAAAAAGGTCAATAGGAAAGTCGTCCAACTATATACATCTTAGATGAATATCAATGTGAATAGATTGTATCGATAAAGAGTGAATATATGACACTATACAGTACAACGATATTTTTCAAATATCAATTATTTTTTGCTGACAAGGTATTCTGATAGGCTGTCCTAACTGAATCCTTCTAGAGTTGTTGTATGGTGAATGATTATGAAATACCTTTCATTTGAAACTAGACATATTGTATTCAATCTCTAGTGAAATGATATTACACGTTTCGACGTGGCCATGATGGGTCGTGGTAGCTCTGATGTATATGACTTATGTTGTAAGTGATATACAAAGAATTTGTTTCTCAACTATCATTCTTCATTTCAAATAATGATAGTTTGATTCATATTCTCTAAAGCCACCTGATGAGGTCCTTGAGCAAGGCCGAAACCAATTATTATTGGAACTTATCTCAACAATAGATTTTGTTTCAATGATTAATCATGAATTCATAGTAAGTGAAAAGTTGACGTTCATCCATAGCAGCTAGTAAAATAGAAGTCAACAATTTCTATTTTATTCTACTCGTCAAGTAGTATATCTGTCGATTCACAACGATCTGATCCTACAGAGTTTATCAGCGATAGAGATTAATTTCTCTAGCGTTTTAACTAGACGATGATTTCATCTCAGATAATTCTTCAACGGGACTCGAAAATCATGACCATTTGTCTTCATGATTTAGTCAAATTAATTATCAGCATATCCATGAAATAGTTTCATTACATTTTTATCTTGTTCTTTTCTAGTTATCTCTATCATTGAACGGATACTTCAACAAAATTTTTGAGCTCTGCACTTATATATTGTTCTTGAATTAGTCATTAAAACTATTAGCTTCTTTGATTCTTTCTTTTTTGCTCTCTCAAATATAATCATGTATTTAAATATATTCTAGATTATTTTGACGAATTTCGTGATGGAAAATATGTTCGATAACGAACTTTGTTTGCTTGCTCATGGTAATTCAGGCTACATTTGGTGTGAACCTCCATCTAGTGAACTAAGCTACGGACAAGAATCACAAGGACAATATCATCAACCACACCAGAAGAAGAAAAGATGTCATGGCAATCGTAAACTACAACATTTTCGACGAAAGTGTCGTACTAGACAAACGGAAGAAAAAGACGACAAAATGAACGTTTTTTCTGTTAGTGAATCTAATAGCAAGGTTGAATTACCATTATCGAACCATAATCAGGTAGAATAACTTAAATAATAATTAATTCTAATGTTTTTTTATTTTCATTTTCAATCTAGAATGCTCGACAGATACATGAACATAATGAAACTAGTTCGATGGGCAATGTTATCACGAATTCTATTCTATTAACATCTTCAAGTCCAAAACAAACTTATCATCTAATACCAAATATCAAAATGAACAGTACAACAAATAAAAGTTCTATATCTACTGATAAATGGAAAACATCACGCCAACTCGTACCAAACTATTTAAAAATGTCAAGTCGCCTCTTTATGGATTTATTATGTATGAATTTGACAAGTCATCAGAATAAAATAAAACATTGGCTAATACATACAAAACAATTACAATGTTTTCGTCGACACGCTGAATTGCTCAACAATATATTACTTCTCGAAAGCGAACAAGATTATTGGGAAACTATTACTGATTCAGCTCGAATCGAACTCATTTGGTTGTCAAAGATGTCTAAAGATACAACAAGAATAAACTCTATCAATTGGGCTTATCCACGAACGATAGAAAATTTAAACAAACGTCAAACAATTATTCGAAATAAATTAAATGCAATCAAACATCAACTCGTGATACATTTAAAAGAAGAGTCATTCATCGCTCGGCATTCGCTAAATAAATCGATTGATCATTTAAATCTTATATCGACAGCAATCAGAGAATTTGTACATAAAGGTCAACAGCGTTTACGCACCATGTATGAAGAACAAAAACTTATATTTCAATTTGATCGCACCGATCTTCATCTTGTTAAATCATTCTACGATTTGAATCCGAACAAGGAACAAGTAAGTTTTTCTTTTGAATATTATTGATTACCTATTTTATAAACTTTTCTAGCTCCTCAATGTTCAAAAACTTTGGCGAAGCAAAGTGAAGGCTTCTAAACGAGCCATCCGAGAGTGCAATAATAATTCATCGCTTCATCATGAACCAAATACTGGAGACAATAATCAAGGGGATAATAACACACTTGAAGGTAAGAAAAACAACTTTTACTTTCATATAAATTTGTCTATAAATCAATAATCATTATTAGATTTGATAACTCGTCATTCTCGTTCCATCATCGAAGCACGACTCATCAATATACAACAACGTACCGGTCAAATCATCCAATTCAAGCTGAACTCATTCTCAACATAATAGTTTCCATGTTTCCATTAGCATACCTTTCTTTGGTCTTTGAAAAAAACAATAAAACTGCTAGAAAACTCAGCATTACAATAATTTCTTATTACTTTAAAATTCTATGTTTCACTTAATGATCTTCTTTGTTTTCCATGTAGTTAAAGATTCTAAAGATACCTGATGATTGAACCCTTCAGCAAGGTTCGAAACGCGTCGTATTCTGCTTTGGATCTATATATTTGAGTGACTAACACACCCATTATATAACCTACTACGATTCGAACAAAAATTGATCTTATATTAAATGTACTCCTTTCGATTACATTAGTATTTGTTTATTCTTTTTGGCTGTTTTCTTTCGAGNAAATAAATAGTTTGATTGATATAAAATTCGCCCGAAACAGACATTTTTCTAAAAAAATGTGTCTGTGCGTTACCAAAATGTCTGTGTGTTACTTCCAATTTTGTCAATAGCTCGCTCATTTTTCAAATTAATTATATTTTCTCTTCACCAAAAGATACTTCTACTTCTGAGCTACAAAATGCTCTGTCACAATATTCATTAACACAGTGTAGTTCGCAGCATTTATCACTTCTCTCGCGTCTACTGAGAACGAAGGACCTTTTTTGTCTGTGTGTTACCGACCAGTATTTCACCTATAGAATCTAAACAGCCCAACGATTGAGGCTCAAACTTTCAGGTATTATAGAAGTTGTCGACTTACATAAGTGTTGAAATTTACAAGCCTTTTCCTTTTACCATTATCGAGATACAATCGTTCGAAGTTGGAAAAACGTCCGTGCGTTACCTGCGTTTCGGCTGTCCTCCATGTTCAAAAACTTTGGCGAAGTAAAGTAAAGGCTTGTAAACGAGCCGTCCAACAGTGCCATGATAATTCATCGCTTCATGATCAACCAAATACTGAAATCAATGCAGGTAAGAAAGACACCTTTTTCTTTTATATCCATTTGTCAATAATTCAATAATCTTTATTAGATTTCACTACTAGTCATATACGATCCATCGTCAAAGCACGCCTCATCAATATACAACAACGTACTAATCAAATCATCCAATTCAAGATGAACTCTTTCGAAAACTAATAGTTCCTGCCCTTTCACTAGTATATCTTCCTATGTTCTTTCAAAAAACTGAAATAAAACTGCTGGAAAAAATCAAAATGAAATTGATTTACTATGTTTTTCGAATTCTAGGTTTTACTTAATGATCTTCTTTTGTTTTCCATGTAGTTGAAATAAGATTCTTAAGATACCTGATGATTGAACCCTTAAGCAAGGTTCGAAACGCGTCGTATTCTGCTCTGGATCTTATTATTGAGTGAATAGCACACCCACACCCACACCCAATTTATCATTATAGTTAGGGAATTTTGTAAAAAATTTTCTCTATATTATAACAGTATAAATTAGAATAAATCTTGTTGGTTCTTATATATATTTATAAGTAATCATATTGATTGGTACACCGACAGTTGAGCCCCCGACAGTTGAGCCTACCGACAGTTGAGCTCCCGACAATTGACCTCCCGACAATTGAGCCTTTCTTGATTAATTTAACAAAATAGTGAAAAAGTAATCAATCGATAAATTCAATAAGAAAAAATTCAAGAATCTGCTCCTGATTTAATAAATAGTACAAATTTTGTTTTACTTGAGATAATTTCATTACATGTTCCCGTGTATGTTTTAGATTTTGTTGATTACTTCGAAGATACATTTATTGGTCGTGTCATTCGTAATAATCGTCGTCGTGCTCCACCTTTTTCAGTTAACATGTGGAACTGTTTTTCACGTTTAGATGAAGAACTTCCACGAACAAATAATTCATCAGAGGGATGGAACCGAGCCATCAAAGTAGGATCGATTATCTTATTATTTTATATTATAGATCGCAAGTTTCTTTTTAGAATTCAGCTCGTGAAAATCCTTCAATATATGAATCAATAGCAGACTTACGAATCGAACAACACTCAAATCTTATCTTAGCTGAACAATTAGAGGCTGGTGTCGTAAAGACACGAAAACGTATTAAATACGAAATGCTTAATGAACAGCTCCAACAATTAGCATCAAATTTCTATTTATTACCCAGAGACATATATTTCAAAAAAGCAAGAGCTCTATTCAATTTTTGACAAAAATGTACATCTCTTCAAATAAAATAAGCTTTATATATGTATATTTATTTTATGATTGATAAGAGGCTCAATTGTCGGGAGCTCAACTGTCGGTAGGCTCAACTGTCGGTAGGCTCAACTGTCGGGGGCTCAATTGTCGGGGCTCAACTGTCGGGGCTCAACTGTCGGGTCAACATTTTGATTTAATGCCATCTGATGAGATCCTTAAGCAAGATCGAAACGCGTCATGGCTGCCTATATCACACCCACACCCGCAAATATTCGATATCTACATCCAATAATCACGTTTGTTAACTATCTCAGTCAGAAGTTCAATTATCGAATAACGTGTAAAGATGCAGCAAAGAAAATGGTCCACGAAGTTTTATTTAAAGATTCGGATAAAACGATGGAATCAAAGTTATATAATGACTTTATTGAAGCATGGTATCAACTTAGTTTCAACGAAGTTTGTTTGGATTCTCAATCAATCAAATTTGAACATAAGTATCCATCTGAAGAATTTAGACAAAGAACAGAAATAGCTAAATTATTCATAAATTCATCAAAAGACCCTAATAGTCTTTTATTAATTGCCTGTATCAAAACGATTAGTAACTTACAAAATAAGATTGTTCAACATTTTTGTGACACTATGAATTCTAATTCACCAGATGTAAGAGTTCAGCGACAGACTGTTTCATTACAGTCTCTGCAACCAAAAAACCTTCTATGCTTGGAAAAAGATATTATCAGTAGAAAATTGATGAATGATACATCAGTCGTCAACTATGAATACGGAAAGGGTACAGATATAATTTATGATTTTCAAGAAATCGAATTCATGATTCGAGATGAAATTAGTTGTTTACCAATGATTGGTACAGATAGAATACATTATATGAATTATCAATTTGAACTTTATGAAGAAAACGCTTCATTAATTACTGATGCTCGTAGGAATAGTGAACAGAAGCTATTATCTGAGAAGAAACGAACTGAACTGCGGAAATCAATTGATACTATTCCAAACGATGATATGCTTCAATATCTTAGTTCACTTGATCCGATTTTTACATATTTACGGCACTGTGAGCACAGCTCTATGCAAAATTTCACGATTAAGACATTTATTGAACAGCATATTCGTTCTAAAATGGGTCTTGGTGATAAATTGTTGCAGGATGCGAATTGGTCAAGCATTGAATTAACACATGTTGTTGACATCTATCAACTATTAGAAGAAATCGCATTCGAAAAAGTTCTACGAAATCATATTGAAAAAGATTCACGAGGACCATTGTTACTTGCAGTTAGCAATGAAACTTATCTTATTGATCAGTTTATTCAGACAACGTCTGGAAACGTAGAGATAGCGCCTTGTTTGAAAAATTTAGATAGCTGGATTAATATGCTGAAAAGGCTTCTGCTGCGAGTTTCATCGAATATCAATTTAAGCTTCGACGTACCATTACAACAATTTGCTGCCCGTTCTGATTTTTGGACTGTTGACATCACGGCAAACAATATTCAATCATTCAAAATTGCGGACGATATTTTGCTACGACACGTATTCATTATTTTGAAAGGGTTGGAAGAAAAAAAACGTGATTCTCAAGGCGAAAGGGAATTACATACAACGAATAATCCGCGACTCAATACCGGAAACGCCAATTCATCACAGCAGCTATGGTTTCAAAATCAAGCTCCGTCCAAAAGTCAGCGCGACATCCGTGGTAATAATACTAAGACTACCAAAAAACTACGGGTATTGGTGAACACTCGTTTCTTTTAGATTTAATCTTTTTTTCTGCGTACATTATATCACTAAATCTATTACATTAATCAAGAATAAAAGAAATGAGTAACGCGACGTGGGTGTGGATGTGCTGCTTTTAATTGAGTCTATACCCGCACCCACGCCCTTATAATACTTGACGTCTCTTATTGATTGTTATATTAGAGGTCGGAGTTGCGTAAACTTGAGAGCTTAATTGCCCATTTGTTTGCGGTTTCGTCGAAGTGGCACGATGTTACCTTAGCAGGAAAACCATCGAAAAGCCAAAGTTCTTGTTCATTTGGATAATTTGAATATGGTGACACATCCAGAGAGCTAGTATCCTTTTCGAGGTCAATGACGAAAAAGACGTTGCTGCCAAAGAATTCGGCCACGTCCCGGTTAAGACTCCTTGAGGTAAAGGCCGGTAATTGAATTTTTCTTTCAGAGACAACGCACAGTCGAAATTTTTCAATTTGTTCGTTAGCCATCGTCACTCCTCGATATACTATCATATGAGTGCGATTAAAATTCATGGCTGAATTCAACAGTACAGCAAATGGAGCCAATGTGGGAACTTTACTTTTCCATAGAATTTCGAAAGCGAAATCGCCTTGCAAACGCATCGTCTCATTTAATTTACGATACAAGAAAGAACCCATACAATAGAGTTTCGCACAGATTTTTCTACCTGTTGTTTGCTTCCATTTTTCTGTTCGAGAAGCTGTTTGGTCATCCATTCGCCTTCTCTTTGCTTCCGCACCTTTTCGCCTCGATTACAAGTCCTTCCGCTGCCTTTTCTACTCACATCTCAAGTACTGACAGACAAGTGATACCTTTCTCCCACGAACGTTATGATGAGAACAAGCTTCTTGAACAAAATCAGGAGTTTTTGGTTCAAGTTTGGGTGTGTGATTGTGGATGTGAGTCTTTATGTGGTCCAACACTGGATACTGCTCAGCACCCACACCCACACCATTTTCACCGCTAGCCTAGTGGAGAGAAAGAGGGAGACTATTTTAACAGAACTTTCGAGAATTCTCTAAACACTCGACCAGGAATTATCTAAGTATCCCAGAGTTGCAACCGGTAACGGTAAACGGCAGGTCCGGTCCGGTCTAGGATTCCTTACCGGCAGGTATACCGGCCGGTACAAGCGATTTTTTTCAGACCGGCCCGGTCTATATTTTTTAAACTTATTTTCGCTTTTTTCCCTTATTTTTTGCAAAAATAGATGATAAAAGTGTTTATTTTTGCATATCAAGCTAGTTTTTATGACATTAATGGCGATTTCTAAGAAAAAATTATGAGATTTATTGTTTATATTAAGTCAATATTTTTCAAAAAAGTATTTCTTAGTGATGAAGGAGAAGTCTTAAATAATTGGTATAGTGATTCAGAGTAAGATATGAATGACATATTAAATGAAAAAAATCAATGGTGACTCATATACAATCAAAAAAACAACTATGACTCATGCTGGTCTACCGGCCGGTCTGACCGGTTTAGACCGGTACCGGTACCGGCCTAGAAAAAATCCTACCGGATGCAACTCTGCTTGACACACGCACAGTACTCAATTGGTTTTGTCCGTTATTATAGCTTCGAGATTTATTATAAGACCGTTTTTATTCTTATTGTTAGTGTAGAGCATCATAAAACGAACATACAGAAAAAATTGTTAAAATCAAACATAGGTGGTGCTTTATTTCCATGTTTTTTTAGTGGGCAAAGTAAAATGAAAAAAAGGAGCTTCTGATTAAATATGTACAGAATTTTTCGCAGCTGTTCATATTCATGTGGAATTACCAACGAAATCTGCAGAGACACCGGCTCGTCAATTAGATTAAAGGTTCGCTTGCACCAATAAGAAACATAGAAATCTTGGTTAAAGAATAAAAATCAAATGAAAGTTCGTTGCTATCCGTTATTCAGGTGTGTTCACCGACTTTCACACTCATCAGAACCGGTTCTAGCTGAAGAAATTCATCATGAGTCGCAAGAACATAACCCTCCAAATCTTTCACCTCCTGAAATGATTTACCAGCTAGCTGTTCATTCAATTCTTCTTGCGATTGGCCTAATTGGTAACGTGTTGCGTTTAGTCGTAGCTGCACTTTCTTTAATGCTTCATTTATTTCTATTAAATGTCCACGTACAATCTCAATTTGATTCATTTTCTGTCCCAACTGATAAATAGCATAGGCTAAACCACCAACTAAGCCGAAAGCAGCTCCACAAGTTGCTTCAATAACACTGCAGAACGGCAACACGAGGCCGATACCAAACCCGGCAATGGCACCAATTCCAGTAAATCCTAAAGCTTTCAGAGCAACATATTTCAATTTAAATATTGCTGTTCCATATTGTTTGTGCAAATCCAACGAAGTTTGTATTAACTTTTGGCAGGCTTTAATATAATCGAACAACGTTGCACGGTCGATTTTGTCAAGACGTTCTTTAATAAAACTTAATTTAACTTCATCACTGGCTTTTTGGTAACGCGGTTTATCGAAATTATCTTTTAATACTTTCAAGTGTATCTTTGATTCAAGAATAAGTTTCAATAATGAATCTTTGAAATCTTGTACATCTTGCATAAGTTCATTATACCCCGAAAATAGATATCGATCCACAATATTGAGCTTAATACACATTTGATTCAATTGATCGAGCATGTTGTCTATGAAGGCTTTGTCCCTGAATTTACGTAACAAGTCCTTTCCATCAGTTACACTACTTTTAGCCATGTTGTTAATAAACACTTTACTTTTGGTAATGCTTCTATGGAATACAAGAAACTACTTATATTGTTTTTAGACGGCAAATACCTATGGACATTATCTATTCATTGACTCACTCCTTATATTAGCGGGTGTGGGTGTGGATATGGACTTGGGTACGGCTGTGACTATCAATGTTCTTTTCACCCACACCCACACCCAAGAAATAATGCATTGAAATGCATTGGATAATAATGCATTATTGGAAATTTCTGCATTATTTGGAATAATGCATTGTAATGCATTCAAAATTCAAAAAAGAATTAATTACGATGCATTAAGTCATGTGTTTTTACAAATAATGGAAAATAATGGGTCACTTTTCCATTATTTATCCATTATCGGCTACATGGGTATCGAGATCGAACTTGTTACATCTTTTTTCGAATTCTCAATACTAAGTTTTGTTCACCTACAAAGTACCATTCGAAAATGATGATTTTGGAAGGTTTTATTGTTTGATAGTTTCGAGATAATTAAAATGACGCCATTAAGTAGTCTTAGCCAATAGTCTATTTATTCACATCTGATCTGAGATAGTGAATCCTGAAGATAATTAAATCTTCAATCGAAATCGTTCTCGATAATTATGTTGATAAAGAAGAATAAATTTTTCTCAGTTACGAATTTTAAAATGCTCGATTGTTTTATCTTATTCTCGATATTTTCGAAAATTCAGTACGTATGCTTCACGGAGCATTCGTACTCGAGTGAAACTTGAATATCATGTAATTAAAATGACCTCATCAATAATTGTTAGCCAATAGTCTATTGGTTTAAATCTGAATCAAAGAAATGACTCATGAAAATAGATAATCGTTCAATGAAAATAATCGTTAGAAAACTGATTGCTACATTTTCACAGAGATCTCCTAGTCATGAATTTCAAAATGATCGATTTAAGAATAGTGAATGCTAAATTTTTATTCAAAATTCGTATATGAAAATTAAAAAAAAATAAACGATTTTAATGAATCTTAAAGTGGATCATTTATTTTTTAAGCCTGATTCTCGCTGCTTTCGAAAACTCGGCTCGTGTGTTTCGCACCGCATCTCTTAGTCGAGTAAAACTCGAATACCATCTAGTTGCAGGATGGAACGAAATCGAAGGGAATTGAGGAGCGTATTCCAACTAATAAACGGAATTTTAGGAATTGAACTGGATCCGTACGTAGAACTAGTTCCGCAATGTTCAACATCGCGGAATGAGATTTATTCTCTTTAATTCACTAGCTCTATCTAGCTATATCGAAAAAATCGCCGATCAATAGAACTTTGCTCTAGTTTCGAGTCACTGACCTGTTAAACAATTTAGCCGGAACGAGAAACATAAAACCTACGAGCCTTTCGTCGATGAAAAATATCCAATTTTTCAGATTGAGGTTCGAAAGAAAAAGCAACTGTTTGTCAACGAAACACAAAATAAATGAAGACTGTCCACGAACTTCACTTTCACAATCATTCAGTATTTACTTTTATTGGTGAATTCGATTGATATTAGAGCGAACAAAAAATAGTGTTGCCTTTGTACGCCTTCATTTTTATGTTGACATTGTAGCCTTGCAAATAAACAGGAGAAAGAAGGAAAGATTTTTCTTCCGACGAAAATATTCCTTGCTGTTTGCATGAATTTTTATGTTGCAAACAATCTGACGGGTGGCGCATAAAGAACCGGACTCTTGTTTTGCCTATAAATCCGCCGGTTTTCACCCTATTGATGCGAATTATCCCCCAAAAGATTCCGCATTCAAATCTCTAGAAAAGGGTGTGGGTGTGGGTGTGGACTTGGGTATGGGTGTGACTATCAATGTTCTTTTCACCCACACCCACACACCCTCAGGACTACTAGCAAGGAAGGTCTATGCAGGAGATAAACAATTTAGAACAAAAAACAGTTAAAAACTACCATTATAAAATCTTGGGAAGAAATTAGCATCGAACAACTCCGTGCTTTGATCGAATCGATGCCTCAATGAATCTTTGAAGTTATTAAGCTAAATGGAGTCAAAACCAAATATTGATATTTTTTTCTTTAGTGTTTTTGTACTTTTTTTTTCATGTGGTCTTATATTTATGTACCACCAAAATGGAGGTAATTCTAGATATATAGGAAAATAAAAAGACTCCCGCTTGAAAATTTTATGGCGTTATTCTTATGTCTCATCTATGTGAAATCACTAAAAATAAGACTCATCTCACTTAGTTTAATTTGAGAACAAGTGGTCTTATAATTATGCACCGCACTGTATGTTGTAAATAATTCTGAGAAAAAAATTTAAAAATATTTGGTTTTGACTCCATTTAGCTTAATAACTTCAAAGATTCATTGAGGCATCGATTCGATCAAAGCACGGAGTTGTTCGATGCTAATTTCTTCCCAAGATTTTATAATGGTAGTTTTNCAAGAGTTATCGTGTTAACGGACGGACATACTGACCGAATCTAGAGTGTACTGACTTTTTGAGTACACAAAAAGAAACCATTGCTCTTTTTCAAGTTTATTTCGATATAAAACTAATATAACAAAAACTTCCTTCGTGGATCGTTACCTTGTCGTGTTGAAGGGGCTTGCGTATCTCGATGACGCTGTGAACTATACCAGCGATTGGATACTTAGTACAGTACTTGGTACCTCTCCTACTTTTTATTTAAAAATCTTTAATACTTAGTACATTTGTGCAGTACAATTGCATATGCTTGGTACTTAATTTGTGTACTTAGTATTTGTACTTCAGCACATTTTACTTAAGTAGAATGTACTGTAGTACCGGTACTACAATACATTGTACTTTAGTACCGGTACTAAGTACACGTGTACTGGGTACTTAATGAGATGTTATCTAATTTAATCTTTTTGTTAGTTGTTTGTTTGTGACTTCTGTGGAACACATGCTTTTAACAGCTTCTCATCTCTAGATGATATTTCAAAAACTTAATAATTATTTTAAAGCCTAAAA